GATTACTGAGGCCTATTTAAATTTTGGATATACCTAACCAGTGATCGAGATGGAATCACAAAATTCTACATATGAAGAACGAAAGGATGTTGACAGTGACATTTTGTTAGCGGAACTTTTAAAGAAAACGGATGTAACAAATCAACTTCTTCAAGATTTAATTGAGGTTTGTAGTAATTTACTACCCACGCATCAACTCAATTCAAATTTTGATTTAAATCACTTTGTGGATGCAAAAGAAACAAATTTTAAAACCGTGCCAACGCCAAATTTTGAGGACAATATATTTCCAACTCAAAATACAGAGGGAAGTTAATGAACTTGCTTTGCAAAATGAAAACCAGAATTAAACAAAGGATCAAAAAATTGGATATCTCATCCAGGAAACAAACCTACTTTAAACAAATAAGTAATGCCAACCGCGCAGAATATTACGAAAAATGGGTAAACCTGGAAAATCTTTAATCCCTAGGAAATTCAGAATCAAGCCAATTATGGTTTACCTAAAGTGCAAACAAATGTTAGAATTATAAAGGATGTGATAGGGGAAATACAGCTACTCAGAATAGGGCAGAAAACAACCATAAAAAAGTTATGTCCATTGACCTAGAAATGGAACGCATACTGAAAACTAAAGCAAACGGCAGAATATTAGAAATACTTCAAGATATGTGGAAATCTGAATGCCTAAAGGAGGAACAAATCTCATACAACAGATGGAGATACACAAAAATTCTGGCTTTTGGATTATGAAAAGAATTACTGTAAGGAACTTACTAAACCCAAAAACACAAGACTACAGCAATTGTCCAATAGACAAGTCTCTAGGAAAAGTTACGCGTCCGCCGTTAGAAACAACTCAACAAATAATTCTACAGAAACTGTGGACTTCCTATGGAAAATGCAACAAAAGCAATTAATACATTTTCGGGGAAACGAAAATATAAAAGGATGAATCAACAGGAGAACTCTAAACACATGAGTTACAGTTCTCGTTCAGCCATTTCACAAAACCGACCATTTCCTAAGCAGCACAGAGACATACAGAATCGGGACACAAGCATAAAAACCACCGAGGAAATGGTACAAATATTTAACAACCAAACTTTTACAGAAAAAAAAACAACATACATCGGAAGAGGGGTACACAAGTATTTTTTAGGAGGAGGCAAAATGAACCAAGGTCAAAGATACAAAAATCAAATGCCACAATTATAAGCAACAGCAATGACGGGGACACGTTCAAGAATGTAATTAAGATGGAACCAAAAATATTTAATCTTTCCCATAGACAACTAACGGATTCGCCATAACACTGTCTAAGGGTCTAAAATACACCCCTTTTTAAGTAAATAATCAAGAGCTTAAAACGGATATAAGCACATACTAAATGACTCAGGCTACGTGAATATTTTCATGAAAGTGATACCAGTGAATCTGATTCCGGTCTACAGACGCAGAAGAAACAGACCTTGTTAGAAACAAATCCAAGTTTAACCCAAAACGAGGAAGAAATAAAACTTTGGATGCTGTTTGCGACACATTGGAAAATATTCATTTCCCAAATAAACCCAGGACTATTAAACCAAACCTTTCTAAGGAAGAAGAAAAGGCTCTTAAAAACCTCATGATCCTACCATCATAATCAAAGAGGCCGATAAAGGAGGCGGAGTCGTCCTTATGAATAAGGATTTTTACAAAAGTAAAATTTTACAAATGTTGCAAGACAATAATTTTTATGAAAAATTGCGCAACTGTATATGAAGAAAACCATTACAAAAATAAAAAACTTAGTATATGGACCACTATCGGAGGGCTTAACAGATAAGGAAAAGGACTCCTGACAAACTTTTTCCTGAGAGTCAATTCTATGGTTTACCTAAAGTGCACAAGTCTAAAATTATAAAGGATGCCATAAAAGAGCAAAATAGTATATGTATTACATGTGCTGATCCCGCTGATTTAAGCTTCAGACCAATTGTAGGAGGACCGAACTCTTCAACGCAAAGACTGAGTCATTTATTGGATATACTTTTAAAACCATATTGTCAAAAAGTACCCAGCTTTGTGAGAGACGATCTTGATTTTATAAATCATTTACCTACTCATGTCACCTCTAACACCAAACTTGTCACACTGGATGTTGTTAGTTTGTATACAAATATTCCTACAGAATTGGGATTGCTAGCTGTCAAATTCTGGACTGAAAATTATCCCGATGTTCTAAACAACAGGTTTCAACGGGACTTCATCCTAGAGGCTCTAAAATTAGTTCTAGATAACAATACGTTTGAGTTTGCAGACCATCATTACCTCCAAATTAAGGGAACAGCAATGGGGACAAAAGTCGCACCTACCTATGCAACATTAACCCTTGGTTATCTAGAACATAAATTACATGATCAACTGTGTACGTTGTGGGGGATAGAATCTGCAAACAAAATACGGTCTAAATGGAAAAGATTTTTAGACGATTGTTTTATCTTATGGGAGGAGGATGTCAATAAACTAACGGAGTTTTATGATTTACTTAACCAAATGAATTCGGATATTAAATTCACGATGGAAACAGATGATTTGCAAATGCCATTCCTCGATGTTCTTGTAACAAAGGATAATACCAGCTTAAATACGGATATTTACTATAAACCAACCGACACACACCAATATCTGCATTTTGGATCAAGCCATCCCCATCACACTAAAACAGCTATACCATATAACCTCGCAAGAAGGATATGCACCATTGTGAGTAATACCAATATCAGGGATATTCGACTGGAGGAATTAAAATTGTATTTATTAAACCAAAAATATCCAGAACAACTTGTAGATAATGGTATAAAGAAAGCAAAGGAGTGCGATAGAAGTCAGTTACTTTTAAACATACGACGTGCGAATGACGTTGAAATAATTCCATTTGTGCACACGCATAACCCGAGAAATCAAAACGTGAGTTCAATTATTCATGAATTGAACAACGTACTTAGAGAGGACGAACAAACGAAAAACGTATACAAGAATTGTCGTTTTATCAACAGTAAACGCCAACCCAAAAACCTAAAGAGAATACTTTGTTCTTCCAAATTCAACGACCATACTTATACAGTCTCTAAGTGTAAGAACCCTCGATGCGGTACATGTGAATACATTACAGAAGGGACCAGCTATAATTTCAATGGGCGTGAATTTAGAGTTAAAGAAAACATGTCATGCGATACAAAAAATGTCATTTATGTCATCACATGTCCTGGATGCAAGGAATATTATATTGGTGAAACCGGCAACACTCTCCGTGCCCGTGTACGTGTACATAAGCAACACATTAGTACACCCGAATACAGACAAATTCAATTAAGTTCGCACCTGGAGGCGTGTGGTAAAAAACAATTTAGAATTTTCCCTTTCTATAAACTCAGTTGTGCCACTGATATCCAGAGACGGGAAAAAGAAAAACATTTTATTAGTATTTTTCAGCCAAAACTTAATAGTGTTTTATAAATTACTTGTGATTTCCCCGTACTTTTGTCACATTGTATCTATGACGTCATAATAAACATTTAACGTTCCGCTTAACATGACGTCATAATCACTGTTACTATGATACTATTATAAGCTTCTGAAGATTGAAAATGAAAGCGCTAAAGCTTAACTGAGGATTTTTGTGTTTTCTTTTTACCATTTTTTAATATTGTTATCCGATTACTGAGGCACTATTTAAATTTTGGATATACCTAACCAGTGATCGAGATGGAATCACAAAATTCTACATATGAAGAACGAAAGGATGTTGACAGTGACATTTTGTTAGCGGAACTTTTAAAGAAAACGGATGTAACAAATCAACTTCTTCAAGATTTAATTGAGGTTTGTAGTAATTTACTACCCACGCATCAACTCAATTCAAATTTTGATTTAAATCACTTTGTGGATGCAGAAGAAACAAATTTGAAAACCGTGCCAACGCCAAATTTTGAGGTAAGCTCATATCAGTCTCCAACTCAATTGATACAGAGGGAAGTTAATGAACTTGCTTTGCAAAATGAAGCAACCAGAATTAAACAAAGGATCAAAGTAAATTGGATGCAAACTCTCAACTCCAGGAAACAAACCTACTTTAAACAAATAAGTAATGCCAACCGCGCAGAATATTACGAAAAATGGGTAAACCTGGAAAATCCCGTAATCCCTAGGAAATTCAGAATCAAGCCAATTCGGGGAGAACCAGTAGAACAAACAAATGTTAGAATTGAGACAGCTAAGAACCGTGTGATAGGGGAAATACAGCTACTCAGAATGAGGGCAGAAAACAACCATAAAAAAGTTATGTCCATTGACCTAGAAATGGAACGCATACTGAAAACTAAAGCAAACGGCAGAATATTAGAAATACTTCAAGATATGTGGAAATCTGAATGCCTAAAGGAGGAACAAATCTCATACAACAGATGGAGATACACAGAAACCTGGCTTTTGGATTATGAAAAGAATTACGGTAAGGAACTTACTAAACCCAAAAACACAAGACTACAGCAATTGTCCAATAGACAAGTCTCTAGGAAAAGTTACGCGTCCGCCGTTAGAAACAACTCAACAAATAATTCTACAGAAACTGTGGATCTTCCTATGGAAAATGCAACAAAAGCAAAGAATACATTTTCGGGGAAACGAAAATATAAAAGGATGAATCAACAGGAGAACTCTAAACACATGAGTTACAGTTCTCGTTCAGCCATTTCACAAAACCGACCATTTCCTAAGCAGCACAGAGACATACAGAATCGGGACAATAACGGTAAGCATAAAAACCACCGAGGAAATGGTACAAATAAACAACAACCAAACTTTTACAGAAACGAAAAAACAACATACATCGGAAGAGGGGTACACAAGTATTTTTTAGGAGGAGGCAAAATGAACCAAGGTCAAAGATACAAAAATCAAATGCCACAATTATAAGCAACAGCAATGACGGGGACACGTTCAAGAATGTAATTAAGATGGAACCAAAAATATTTAATCTTTCCCATAGACAACTAACGGATTCCGAAATAAAGTTACTGTCTAAGGGTCTAAAATACACCCCTACGCCTCAAGTAAATAATCAAGAGCTTAAAACGGATATAAAAGCTTATACTCGGCGACTCAGGCTACGTGAATATTTTCATGAAAGTGATACCAGTGAATCTGATTCCGAGTCTACAGACGCAGAAGAAACAGACCTTGTTAGAAACAAATCCAAGTTTAACCCAAAACGAGGAAGAAATAAAACTTTGGATGCTGTTTGCGACACATTGGAAAATATTCATTTCCCAAATAAACCCAGGACTATTAAACCAAACCTTTCTAAGGAAGAAGAAAAGGCTCTTAAAAACCTCAGCGATGATCCTACCATCATAATCAAAGAGGCCGATAAAGGAGGCGGAGTCGTCCTTATGAATAAGGATTTTTACAAAAGTAAAATTTTACAAATGTTGCAAGACAATAATTTTTATGAAAAATTGCGCAACTGTCATGAGAAGAAAACCATTACAAAAATAAAAAACTTAGTATATGGACCACTATCGGAGGGCTTAACAGATAAGGAAAAGGACTACCTGACAAACTTTGAATTCCGAGAGAGTCAATTCTATGGTTTACCTAAAGTGCACAAGTCTAAAATTATAAAGGATGCCATAAAAGAGCAAAATAGTATATGTATTACATGTGCTGATCCCGCTGATTTAAGCTTCAGACCAATTGTAGGAGGACCGAACTCTTCAACGCAAAGACTGAGTCATTTATTGGATATACTTTTAAAACCATATTGTCAAAAAGTACCCAGCTTTGTGAGAGACGATCTTGATTTTATAAATCATTTACCTACTCATGTCACCTCTAACACCAAACTTGTCACACTGGATGTTGTTAGTTTGTATACAAATATTCCTACAGAATTGGGATTGCTAGCTGTCAAATTCTGGACTGAAAATTATCCCGATGTTCTAAACAACAGGTTTCAACGGGACTTCATCCTAGAGGCTCTAAAATTAGTTCTAGATAACAATACGTTTGAGTTTGCAGACCATCATTACCTCCAAATTAAGGGAACAGCAATGGGGACAAAAGTCGCACCTACCTATGCAACATTAACCCTTGGTTATCTAGAACATAAATTACATGATCAACTGTGTACGTTGTGGGGGATAGAATCTGCAAACAAAATACGGTCTAAATGGAAAAGATTTTTAGACGATTGTTTTATCTTATGGGAGGAGGATGTCAATAAACTAACGGAGTTTTATGATTTACTTAACCAAATGAATTCGGATATTAAATTCACGATGGAAACAGATGATTTGCAAATGCCATTCCTCGATGTTCTTGTAACAAAGGATAATACCAGCTTAAATACGGATATTTACTATAAACCAACCGACACACACCAATATCTGCATTTTGGATCAAGCCATCCCCATCACACTAAAACAGCTATACCATATAACCTCGCAAGAAGGATATGCACCATTGTGAGTAATACCAATATCAGGGATATTCGACTGGAGGAATTAAAATTGTATTTATTAAACCAAAAATATCCAGAACAACTTGTAGATAATGGTATAAAGAAAGCAAAGGAGTGCGATAGAAGTCAGTTACTTTTAAACATACGACGTGCGAATGACGTTGAAATAATTCCATTTGTGCACACGCATAACCCGAGAAATCAAAACGTGAGTTCAATTATTCATGAATTGAACAACGTACTTAGAGAGGACGAACAAACGAAAAACGTATACAAGAATTGTCGTTTTATCAACAGTAAACGCCAACCCAAAAACCTAAAGAGAATACTTTGTTCTTCCAAATTCAACGACCATACTTATACAGTCTCTAAGTGTAAGAACCCTCGATGCGGTACATGTGAATACATTACAGAAGGGACCAGCTATAATTTCAATGGGCGTGAATTTAGAGTTAAAGAAAACATGTCATGCGATACAAAAAATGTCATTTATGTCATCACATGTCCTGGATGCAAGGAATATTATATTGGTGAAACCGGCAACACTCTCCGTGCCCGTGTACGTGTACATAAGCAACACATTAGTACACCCGAATACAGACAAATTCAATTAAGTTCGCACCTGGAGGCGTGTGGTAAAAAACAATTTAGAATTTTCCCTTTCTATAAACTCAGTTGTGCCACTGATATCCAGAGACGGGAAAAAGAAAAACATTTTATTAGTATTTTTCAGCCAAAACTTAATAGTGTTTTATAAATTACTTGTGATTTCCCCGTACTTTTGTCACATTGTATCTATGACGTCATAATAAACATTTAACGTTCCGCTTAACATGACGTCATAATCACTGTTACTATGATACTATTATAAGCTTCTGAAGATTGAAAATGAAAGCGCTAAAGCTTAACTGAGGATTTTTGTGTTTTCTTTTTACCATTTTTTAATATTGTTATCCGATTACTGAGGCACTATTTAAATTTTGGATATATATATATATATATATATATATATATATATATATATATATATATATATATATATATATATATAATCCAATAAAAAGTCTCAGTGGTCGGTATTAAATACTTAAAATAAAAAAGAAAACACGAAAAACTTCAGTAAAGCTTTAGGCCTTTCATTCTATCATCAGAAGCTTTACAAATAAACAACTGTAGTAACATAGTAACGCTACACAATAATTGGTGGAGTATATGACGTCGTTATTATGAAGTCAAATGAATTATGACGTCATAGTTAGCAGCTCATTGCGTACAGGTAAAAGTACGGGAAATTTTCAAGTTCTTAATAAAATGCAGATAAACATATGCATACATAATAAAATCTAATAGATATACATTACATCAGATTGTTAAGCTTTGGTTTTAACACACAAATAAAATGTTTTTCTTTTTGGCGTCTACAAATATCATTTCCTCCTGCTACTTTATAAAACGGAAATATCGGAAATTTCTTTTGTCCGCACACGTCTAAATGTTCATTTAATGGTATTTGACTATACTCTGGAGTGTTAATCTGTTGCTTGTGGGTACGAACCCTGGTACGGAGGGTGTTACTGGTCTCACCTATGTAAAATTCACTACACCCTGGACAGGTTATTACATATAAAACATTTTGTGTATCACACGGCATATTGGCGTTCACTGTAAATTTTCTGCCGTTAAAGTTATAACAAGATCCTTCAGTTATAAAATCACAGGTTCCGCATCGGGGATTTCCACATTTAGTCACTGAATAAGTTCCTTCAAAATTAGAATTACATAGGAGTCTTTTCAGGTTCTTGGGTAGCGTTACTATGTTACTACAGTTGTTTATTTGTAAAGCTTCTGATGATAGAATGAAAGGCCTAAAGCTTTACTGAAGTTTTTCGTGTTTTCTTTTTTATTTTAAGTATATATATATATATATATATATATATATATATATATATATATATATATATATATATATATATATATATATATATATATATATATATAATCACGATGGATGGCCATTCTGCAAATATGACGTCATTAGTTTGATGTATTTCTCGGTTTTATGCAGAGAAGCTTCAAAATGATTAACTTTGTAATTAATTTCATTCAGAAAATAGTGGCCACAGCCGTCGTCCATCTCGATTTTTTGGATAGATTGTGTAAAATGATTTGAAAAATCAGATATCAAAAATCTTTTTGGGCGATGCATGAGCTGTATGTTTTTTGATAGAAAATTCTACTGAAAATTTGTCTTTTGCAACTTTACAAGAAAATACAGTGTACGAGAGAGTGCACAAGGTCATGGCACCACAAAAAGCATTTACAAAGCAGTTTGTATTTCTTTACCGCATGGAGTTTAATAATTCAGAAAGGATTAATTTTAATTTCGTATATCACTCCTAAATTATAGAAATATACAGGGTCAGATTTGTATTGAAACCTTACCTTGCTCTTTCTTTTGTAGTCGTTAAATATACATGCAGCAAAACGAGAATTTTCAATTTGAATTTTTTTTTTCTCTTAAGAAAGTATTCACATCTATTGTTCAACAAAACAATGTCAGTAGTTTCCAGTCAGGCAATTTTCTGTTTCAAAATTTAACTTCTTCACATCTTTTATATTGATACATAGAAAAATAAAAGTTAGATTGTACAAAGAAAAATAGAAAACAAAGCAAGAATGGTAAACAGTAAAAAAAATCCAGGGAGAAAAAAATAATATACAAGGCAATCTTTGACGTTTAAGATATAGCATTGAATAAAATTCATGACGGTTTTGTAGAGTAACCTTTTCCTCAAGGGTCTATAAAGAAATGTGTAATAATGGTGATGGAATGAAGATTATGAAAAAGATCGAACAATGACTGAGAGAATCATCAATGGTGTTATAAATTCAAAATAACGAAGAATAGTTTGTAAATTTGTTTGTAAAACCTTGCGAAGGAGACTGATCTTGTTTTTGCTGAAATATAAGGAGATAACGAACACTATTCAAGATCAGCCGTAAAGCAATACAAGATAGGAGCAGAGCAAACAGGAACCTCCAAGGATACATTTTAGAAATTAAGAAAGATGGAGAAAAGTCGATGTAAATATGGTGCTGAAAAGCGGCCATACATTATGGGGCTAGCAATGTATATATTATCAAAGACACTGAAATGATTTGGGCACCGTTTAAACCTACCGATGTAAAAGAGTTAAGGCTCTTACCATAGGAATCCATGTTTATAGATTTAATGCTTTATATTGCTTAAGCCACCGTATTATATGAATATTGCATGAAGTTGAATGTAACATTGAAATTTTCACCCCAAGAAAACCATTGTCAACCGAGGCGCAGCTCTTTTAAAGAATTCATTAAAATTTCAATGTTACACTCAACTACATGCGATATTTATTATATTTTACTGAATGTATAATACAAATACATATAACAGTGAGCCGTGCGCGCATAAATTCTGCGCAGTCGCTATTTCTTTTTTTGGAATATCACCCGTCGTCAAGCAATGTTGACTGTTGCTACGCCGGAGGGCGTAGCTTCATTATTCAGCGGGTAATAGTGTTTTTTATCAAATGTTTCTCGACGAATCAGATTCAATTCATTTACATGAAAGTATAATATTAATATTTACTCACTTTGCGTAGAATTTGGAACTAATTCCATAAGAATTTAAACACAATGTACTGTAATTTTCTGGGTATCTTTGGTCGAAGACATTACACAAACAAAAAATCCTATATTTTTATGCCTCTATGAAATACCCTGGTATTTTTTGTAATTTTTCTCATTTTATTGTCCTTTGCTCCTAACAAAAACATTAATTTCTATAAAGGAGAAATTTCAGACGTACTGAGCTACATCATGGTCTATAAATAATAAGAATCAGATATCGATTCTCATAAACTCGAAAGAATATTTATAAAATATTATATAAATGTATCCATGATTATCTTCGCTCCATTCAATTTTTGCTCTTTCTTACTTGCAAACAAAGTTTTGCCCCTTTTTAAATTCGCCCAGTTATTCTTCTGTTAAACAAATTTAAGTGTTCAATAATTTCACCCCATCTTAAATTCACCCGCCCACCTATGCGTAGGGCGAACGTTAACGATGCGAAAATATAGTGTATACCCGTATTCAGTATCATTTTCGTAATATAAATAACATCAATGTTTCTTTTTCATGCTTTAAAACTACTTCATAAAACATATTATGGAGATAACGAAAAGTATTCAAGATCAAAGGTCCATAAAACAATAGAAACGAAATAGGAGCAGAGCAAACACGGACCTCCAAAACATCAGAGGTGGTATCAGGTGCCATGGAGAAGTGAGAATCCCCTGCCGACCGTTCATACCCGCCGTGTGTTCCTTATCATGATCGGGAAATAACGAAAAAATCCTCGTTAATTCAGTGTATAAATAATGGACTAACAATAAGTATGGAAAACGTCAGTCAGCATTTGACTCTATGATAAACTGTATTTGCTGAGAAGGTCATTGTATCGACCATAGAACTTACGAAATGATGACGTTAAACTAGACTGCTGATATTCTTGTTTCATCAACTTGTTTGTCAATAATTTACCACGTTTTAAAATAGTTCATACGTAGAGCATGCTCTTGCGTATCAAATAAACTGAGATATATGGACTCCGTATGCAAGTGATGAAGGTATATTACTGCATCGGTAAGGGAAGTTTGCGATAGAAAAGTTAAAGTCATCACGTTTATCATAGAGCTTGGTTGTTAGATTACTATTAACGTCTTTTTAAAGTAAAATATCCAAATATGAAACAGATGTATCAAATTCTGTGATATCTTTTATCTCAAGCTCAGTAGGATATATCGTATCGACATAGAATAGAAATTACCATAATGATTGTTAATTGACAGTACGTCGATATATCTAAATGTCGAGTTGAAGGCCACAGCAAGTGTTTTCTTCTTTTCACGCCTAATAAATTAAAGCAATATGAGCTGCATTTTTGGGAAATTTATTTTGCTGTTAAAATGTGTTATAATGATTAATCTGTATGTAATTTAAACCTTAATGTTCAAGTTGACTA